AAAAAAAAAAAAAAAAAAAAAAAAAAAAAAAATTCACAGGTATACTATATAAGACTCACTTTGTTGGATTATGAACAAATCCAACTTATGAGCACTCTTCTAGAATGGAACTCATTTGTGAGTCAGGGGCTTACCGTGTTCATAGAGGCTAATTCTGCCTCTGTGTGTGTGTGTGTGTGTGTGTGTGTGTGTGTGTGTGTGTCTAGTTCTAGGGATTGAACGCAGGGACTTTGCATTTAACTATATCTCCCAGCCCTTTTTTTTTTCTTTTTTATTGAGTTTATTGGTACAATCTAGGTCTACAATACAGTTACATTTATTATCCCAGCCCTTTTTTAATTTTGAAATAGGATATTGTAAATTGCCCAGGCTAGTCTAGAACTCACGATACTCCTACCTCAGCCTCCCAAGTGCTGGGATTACAGGTGAAGTTAATTAGCTAATTAACCTGGTGAGGCTAGTCACATGAAGCTCCGAATTTAGTTGTTGTGGTGTTCATTTATAATCTCAGCACTCTGGGAAGCTGAGGCCGGATGATCGAGAGTTTTGAGTCCAGCCTGGGCAACTTAGAGAGACCTCCTCTCAAAATAAAAAATAGAAAAGGCCTGGGGATATAGCTCAATGAGATGGTCCTGGGTTCAGTCTCCAGTACTGCAAACTAACAAATAAACAACAAAAAAAGGGACTCAGCATTGACTCTCTGAAGAAAAAACAACTGAGCAGTATTAGAAGACTTGTCAACTCATTAAAAGCAAAGGAAGTTATTCAAAATCATCTACTATCCCTTATTTTCTTAATCATTATTGATGTTACTCCCCATTCCCTTAACTATTTGAGCAACTAGTTTGCAGAAAGACTAATAGTCTTAAATGAATTTATATTCTCTGGACACACTTCTGTAGTTGCTGCAGTCAAATATGATTTAATTAACTGGTAAATCAATTTGCTTGCTTGGCTAACAAATGAAACACTTGGAACTTTAATCTGATTGCAGCCTCACTTTCATTTTTGAGATACTCTGCAGTTATGAAATACTGTTTTAAATTTTATTTTTCTCATCATTGCTTTCCTGTGAGTTGAGACTATTGTGATAAATGCTTAGATGATAATGTCTGTGTGTATTGTACTCTTTCAGTACAGCTATGGTGTTGATGTGTAATAAATGCAATAGTTTGACATCTAATTCATTAACAAAACTCATGCTCCACTGGGATTTCACATTGCAACACACGAAGCCTTAATGTCTCGTTCTGACAAGAAAACATTTTAACATAATGGGGATACACTGTACTATGGTTTGAATGTGTGTGTGCCCTCCAGTATTCATGTTGAAACTCAACCCGTAAGGCAACAGTATTAAGAGATGAACTGTTAGGAGGCAATGTTCATGTGAGTTTAGAGCTTTACGGAAGGGTTGGGTGGAAGTAGCAGTCTTTCCGTCCTGCCTTTCACATGGAAGGACAGACACCTGTCCCCTCTGGAAGATGCAGCAACATGGCTTCATCTTCAAGTAGACAGCATTGGGAAATCTTCTGATACCTTGACCTTGAACTCTCCAGGCAGTAGAACCATGAGAAATACATTCTTCATAAGTTACTCAGTTATTTACAAAGCAGCAATAGGAGCAGACTAAGACACTTTGGTAATAAAACTATAAAATAAGTTGTCATTGTATGGTGGTGATACATGCTTGGAGAGCTACCAACTTGTAACCATGGTATTGATTTGTAGTGTTGTGGGCAACATTCCAAAGCAAGGGAGGCATGGCTTACAGTCTGTTGCAACTATTGAACTCTGTGGTTGTAGTTCAAAAGCAGGCATAAATTAATAATCAGTTGTGTTCCCCAAAAAAGTTTATGAGCACTAAAATTTAAATTTTGTATCATTTCAACATGACATCAAATATTCTACTTTTGATTTTTTTCATCCTTTTAAAAATGTAAAACTTTTAAGAGAATGAAAAGATAAGCCACGAGCTGGGAGAAAACATTTGAGAAATACCTATCTGTTAAAGGAATTTTATCCAAAATATACCAAGAACTCTTAAAACTCAACAATAAAAGACAGTTAAAATGAGCAAAAGTTCTGAGCAGATGCCTCACCAGCAAAGATAAACTGGTGGCAAATTAGCACATAAAAAGATGTTCAACATCAGATGTCATTAGGAAATTTCAAAACAACAGTGAGATATCCCTACAGTTGGGAGCGAGAGGCGGGCAGAGAGACCACCCACGGCAGACTTTGTGTTAGCAACATGGCCGTTTATTTAACACTCAGGTACTGGTGAGCAGACTGAATCTGAAGGGAAGTCAGCATAGACTGGGGAGGAGGAGAGCAAAGACTTAAAAAGGGAAGGGGTTGCCAGGTGTTGGTCTGGAAAAAAAAGTCTGTGGGCAGAGAGAAGGTGGCCTGTACCGATGTTTCCTGGAGCAGAGGGCAGTGTGGCTGTACCTAGAGTTCCTGGAACTGGGGATGCCATGCCAGCTGGGGCCAAGCTGGTGGATAGTAACCAGGCTATTTCATGTCACTGGGCACAACACCTACACACCTATAGAAAACCCAAAACAGCTTCAAATGCTGGTGGAATGTGGAGCAGTGGGAACTCTCCTCCATTGCTGGATGGACTGCAAAATGGGACGGCCTCCTTGGGAGACAGTTTGGTAGCTTCTTACAAAACTAAACATACCCTTACATTATTAGTCTTATTCATTGGCATTTGCCCAAGTGAAAAATGTATGTCCATATAAAACTATGTACATGTATGTCTGTAGCAGCTTCATTCCTGAATAACAAAACTTGGAAGTGACCCAGATACCCTTCAATAAGTGGACCTAGATAAACAAACTGTGATACATCCAAATAATGGAATATTGTTCTAAGAATCAGGTCATGACAAGACATGAAGGAAACTTAAATGCATATGGCTAAGTGAACGAAGCCAAAATGAAATTCATGCTGTGTGAGTATAGCTGTATGAGATCCTGGAAAAGGCAAAACTATTTTAGTAGTAAAAAATATCAGTGCTTTTCAGGGTGTTAGGTTACTGGAGACCCCTGCAGTGTGTTCAGATCTCCCGCTCAGTGCTATGATGCAAGGCAAGAAGAAAAACATAGGGACAGAGTCAAAGAGACAGCAATACGGGAAGTTGGGATGACCAGTGCTACGCAAGCAAGGCCGAACAAGCAAAGGCCCTGAACACCCAGAGCTGTAGATATTTATTGGTTACATCATAGTTAGATTGAGGTAAAGGGGCTACCTGGAGGGACTATGTGGAGTTGCTAGGATACATTGCTGATGCAGGTGAGGTTTGTAAAGAAAGCCTTGAGACAAGCAAGAAACAAAGGAAGAAACAAAGCATTCTTAGGAACAGAACAGATACAATACAGGTAGGTGGTGGTTAGTATTTAACACTGTCTTTTTAGTAAAGAAGGTTTTAGCTCTAGGAAGGGTATTTGGATGTGAGTCACTCTCGCCTTGGCATGTAGGCTTCAGCCCGACTCACTTCTCAAAATGAGCCAATTGTGGGATTAACTCCTTACAGCCTTCACTGCCCACAGCCTGCTTTGGGCATATTCAATAGGGTGGCCCCCACATAAGGTGGATGGAGGAGGGAAGGAGGGATGAGTAGGTGGGACATAGAGGGCTTTTAGATCAGTGGAACTTGCTCTTCATGATGGTGGCTATATGTAATTATACATTTCTCAGAACTCATGGAATATACAATACTAAGAATAAATCCTATTAACTTTGGACTGTAGTTAGTAATAATGAATCAATATTGGTTCATCAATTGTAATGAATGCGTCATATCAGTGCAAAGTGATAACAGGGAAAATGGGAACAGGAATAATATGGGGATTCTGTACTTGCTGTCTAATTTTTCTGTAAACCTAAAATGTCTCTAAAACTAAAAATTCTTATTTTACTTTTTGTACAGAAGCAGATGGTAAACTGTATTTGGCTCTTAGGGCAGTTTACTAATTCCTGACCTAACCAATAGCAGTTTTGTTTTAAGGAATCTATGCATTAAAAAAATATAACTTACAAGGTAATTAAATAATTAGCCTGGCATGTGACACACCTTTGTGATAGAATTGATTTAGAATAATGATTTTAAATTGAAATCTCGTTAGTTTTGAAGAATATTGTAATACTTAAGAGGATTAAGGGACCATTGGTTTTACTACTTTATTACATTGATGAGATTTATTTAAGATCTTCAGGAGGCCTTGCTTGCTAAGAAAATTCAAGTATTTAAAAAAATACATCACATAAATACTGCTCTAAATGTTTAAAGAATTTTTGCTAAGTTTAAAGTAGTAGTAACTATTAAACATACTCAGTTTAAAATGATTAATATATGCTAAATTAAAAATTATAGTGTCTGTGAACTTAACCCAAGAAATATTAAGAAAAAAAGAAAATGTAACAAGTGGACTTTATTTAAATTTTAATTTGAACAATTGATTTTTCTTTTTTGAGACAGAGTCTGGCTATATGGCTCAGGCTGGTCTTGAACTCCCTATGTATCTCAGGTTGGCCTTAAACATGGGCAGTCCTGCTGCCTCAGCCTCTCAAGTGCTATGATTACAGGCTTGCACCACGGTGCCTGCTCCAAACCAATTCTTCTTTTTCTTTTGGTACCAGGGACCAAACTCAGGACCTTGAGCTTGTGAGGCAGGAACGATGCCTAAACCATTTCTTAAAATATAGACAGGCAAATTTGAACACCAGATATGAGCTGATAATAAGGAATATTCTCTTTCTTTTGCTGTCTGCCTCTGTTACAGAGGTTCTTTGTACCAAAATAGGTGGGCAGCCTTGGGCCCCAGTCTGAGCCCTTTGTGGGACAAACCTCTGCTGAAGGCCTTCTCCAGAGGATTCACGGCTTCAGGTGGTCATAGAGGAACAACAGCCAGTTGTACCCTTTGCATCTGTGAGATTCTAAGGTTGGCCAGAAACCTTGCCCACCAGTGGTTACTACTTAGGGAAGAAAGATCAGACTCATTCTGAGGTTCTCCTTAGTTGGACCTCTTCATGGTCTCCTCTTCATGGTCACAACAGATCTGCTGTGTGCTGTTAGGCTTGAGGGAGCAGAACCTGCCCTCACCTGCCCTCATCCTTTCTGTAAGGTCATGGAAGAGATTGCTTCTCAGGAAAAAAATATTGCAGTTCTCGAAAAAGCCATCCTCGACCAAGAAGGACCTGCCAAGGTGGCTCACACACGCCTGGAGACCAGGACTCACCGGCCCAACGTGGAGCTGTGTCGTGACGTCGCTCAGTATCGGCTCATCAAGGAGATTCATGAGATCGACCACAACGTGGCAAGGTAGGGCAGTCGCCTGCAGCAGAGGGGCCCTGGGCATGACCCTGAACCAAATGGCAAGCGGTGGTTAGGCAGTGGCCAGAGAGGGTACAGCCTGCTCTGTGCTGGGTGAGACCAGTATCTACTAAGTCCAGCCAAAGTTCTTGCCGTGCAAGAAATGGGTTCCAGTGTTGACATATTTCTGAAGAAGCCCAAATCCAGAGGTTCAGGTAAAATCTGCGATTTTAAATATTGCCATTCATGGAGTTTTCTGGGTCATAGTGCTGGCCAGTGGACACCAGTCAGAAATCTCTGTTAAGGAAGAGAGAAGAAGGGGAAGAGTGCATATCAATCTGACTTCCTACTCAGATAGATTTTATTCTCCCTCAAAAGAAGCGATGCAGAGAAATTCCCTGTGTTCTTCTGGTTCCTCTAGATTGAAGGAAACCTTGGCCCAGGCTCAAGTAGAGCTGAAAGGGCTGACTCGCAGACAGCTGGCCCTGCAGGAGGAGATCCATGTCAAAGAGAACACCATCTATATTGACGAAGTACTCTGCGTGCAGATGCGCAAGTCCATCCCACCTTGTGATGGGGAAGACCACAGGGACTGGGCCGGGGGGCTCCGCCCTGACACTGTCTGCTGAGAGAGGGATTGGTGAAATGTGCATTAAACCACTTAATAAACCAGTGACACGGAGCCTCAGTTTAGAGCAGCAGAGTGGCTCTTCCACAAACATCTCAGCAGGGCCCCAGACCTGCTGGGGGCTGAGATCTGTGGGGTAGAGGATGGGGATGGGGGTATTCTGCTTTGCTGGTGGACGCAGTGGGTTTCTCATTGTTCAATACAGTAACTGTGTACCAACTTGGGCCCCTTTCATGATATCCCAGCACTTGGGGCCAGGAGAAAGGAGTTCAGGACGTTTTCGTTGAGATTCATTGCAGTAGAGTGGCTGGGCTGGATCCCCCTATTCAGGCATGTCCCCTTAGGAGACCGGATGCAAACGTTTCTGGGCCTCAAAGTCCCTTCTCCCTGGAAAGCAACGCGGTGACTTCCGGCTTAGACACTTCTGCCTCTCCCACCGGGCTGTGGGAAATCTACGAAAGTCTCACCATACAGATGAAAGAGGGGCAGCCCTGGATCAGAGGCCCCTTCTCCAGAGTAAAATTAAGAGATGATAGAGCCGCAGGCCTTCCAGCTCTTTAAAATTCAGTTTAGTGGCAGGGTTGTGAGGAGAGGGCAAGCCAGGGTGCTGAGGTCTGGGGTTACCGGGTGACAGAATTGGGGGTCTCTTGCTCCCAGGCCAGAGGGGAGAGTCCGAGCGCAGCATGGGGCCCTGTGCACAGACCCCCCCCCCTCCCGACCCTCACCCCAACTTCAGTCTTGGAATCTCCGGCTTCGGAAAAGAGGAGACTGCAGAAGTTTTGTCTCCAGAGGCCTCGCCTACTTGTGGAGCTCAGCTTTTAGCGCCCCCATGTGGAAGGAGTTTGAGAGGTTCTTTTTTCTTTTCCAGAAAAGAAACTCAAAATTGAAGGCTAATCAGTATCATAGAGTCCCTTCCCTCAACTCCTCAACTCGCATTACTGGGAATTGAACCTAGGACCTCACACATGCTAGGCAAGAGCTCTATCACCAAGCCGCTGACCTAGAACTTGCAATCTTTCTGCCTCAGCCACCCGAGCAGCTGGATTTACAAATCTGCTCCACCAGGCCTGGCTTATTTTTATTTATTTATTTTTTTTCTTCTTCATACTCAACAGTAAGGGAAAAGAAAAAAAAAACCCCTCATCTTGCAAAATATTCAAACCAGTGGTTAAGAGTATAGGTTCTGGGGCTAGGGGGTCACTTACTTTGTGCATGTGAAGCCCTGGATTCTCTTCTAAGCACCTCAGAACAAAATAAGACAAGAAAGTGTAGGCTCTGAAGCCGATATCCCTGGGCTGGTGTGTCCCATGGTACTTCCCTCATAGGATTATTGGGGGCTTGAACGAGATAACCCCTGTAAAGGGCTCTGTACAGAGCCTGTCTCATAGGAGAAGGGTGTGTTTAATAAATACAAGCCATTTTGGGCAGCCCCATCCCTGTGCCCGCATAATTTCTGCGTGGTTGTTCTCCTGATATAGTCTCAGTTGTGAATAAGTTTTCTTCCTTAATTGTATATTGCGAGTTTTTCATGTTGCTATATCATTATTTTAATGGTTACAAGCTTCTTTTAAAAGTGTTCACCAAGCCTGTTTCCGTATACTCACAGTTTGTTTTCTAAAGAGAGTTCTACTTATCGCTGGCTTCCCTCTGCTGGGTTGTAGCAGCTCAGGAACATGCGTGAGTGTCTGTCACAGAAAGACTTTTGCTGAGAAACTGCCCATTCATTGATTGATTGATTCATTCTGCCAGTGGTGAGGGAGCATCTGCCCCATGGAGGGCTCACCCCCTCACTGCTGTGGCTACACCCCGGGTTAACATTTGGTCCTGGAATGCTTACTGGGCACCTGGTGAGGAGGCACAGTGCCAGTGGGATCAGGAGACCCTGACCCTACTTCTGACACTTCCAGGAAAATCCTTCCTCCTCTCAGGGCCCCTAGACAGTAAGAGGATTGGACTAGATTGTTCTCCCCGTCTAGGTTGTTCTCTAAATCTGGCTGCCTGTCTCCATATGTTGTTAGGGGGCCCAAGGACAGTGCGGAGTGTGGGCCTCACTCCTGGGAGGTGTAAAAGGTAAGTGTCCTCTGCTGTCAGCAAGGGGTATTCCTAACCTAAAAGGGAGAAATCCTTTTTGAAGCTGCCAGCATCAGCTTATGGCCCATTTGCACCCAGTGACCTGACCATCCAATCTGGAGTTCTGAGCAAATGTGCAGCTCCCCATGCCCCAAGCAATGTGGGGACCCCTGAGCTCACTTCCCAGCCTCTAGTAATTTCCTCCCTGGAAATCACACCCCAATTGACATGCCCTGCCACTGCTTATTGACCCAGCTAGGTTATTCTAAGTCTGTTTCTTTGAAATTGAAATACATAGATATTGGGAGTGACCATAGGGCTGTGGAGAAGAGGGTCACGAACTCTGTGGCTGCAGTCCCTGAAGATGTCCTGGGTGTTCTCTTTCTATAAGGTGACCTGATATAGTTACTTTCTTTGTTCAAACTCGCAGAAGTTTATTTCTGTTCTGCTTCCTTAAGGGCCTTAAGCAATAAATATTGAAGGAAAGACAGTGTGTGGGACCAGATGTGAGAACTTTGCTTCCAAATATGAAGAGGGATGTAAGTAGGCAACAGGGTCCTTCATCCTTGCTTATTCAAACTCCTGTGCAAAAGCCCCTACACAAATGCCTATATTTGCTCCACTGGGTCAGGAGTGAGCTGCTGATAGAAGTTGGGTCAATGAGCTCCTATCCTGAGGAATGTGGGTTTGGGACAAGGAGATTTCAGTTCCACCTGGGTGTTCTCTTGACAAGAGGAGATACAGACTTTGGAGCGTGTATGACATCTGTCATCTGTTATGTGAACACAACCCAGGGAGCCAAGTGGGAGCAAGAGGAAAAGTGAAAGTCGATATACCAAGACAAAAAGAGAAGAGAAAACTCCCTGCCACCCCTGCAGCCCCCTTCCCCAGCTCAAGGCTGTTCCTGAGGCCCTTGGGTTCTGTGAGACACCCAAGCATCCTTATGCTGCATCCCATTTCTGCTCACTGACTCCCAGGCGCTTTTCTGTGGCCCCCGCCACAGAGACCTGTAACTCACAGGCCATGGCTGCTTGACTGCAGGAGCAGGTTGACAGGCATGGGGTGGTGGTAGGCTCATGGCAGGTAGGATCTTGGTGGAGAAATGTATGTTGGCTGGTGGAGCAGGAGCAGGACCTTCCAGGCAAAGTCAAGGGATCTTAAAGAACTTAATCTGTTCCCAGAGAACATTTGGGTACAGTTGGGTCTCTATGAAGAGCATCGCAATCTCAAAACCAAGGAGAGCTTTTGTCATTTATCACCACTGTGAATGCTTATCATGAGTAAGTTCAAACTGTCATTTCTATTTCACAGCTGGAGAAAGTGAGACCTGGAGGGGTCCTGTGCTTAGGATTCAGACTCAAGCATGCTAACTCTGATGCATACATTTCTAAAACCACTCACTATTTAGTAGCAAGGAGAGAGACTATATGGAGAAATTGGAGCACAGAGTTAAGTCGTTTCTATGATTCAATATCAGATTTAAAGACCAAGCTGAAGGTTTCCAGCTCTGACTTGAGACTGATACTTTCATCTTGGCAAGTCTTTCCCTTGATGGCTTGGACTCTGTCCTTTGCCTCTGAGTTTGGAAGGGAATTGGTAACTGCAAGTCCCAGGTGAATGCCAGAAAATTTTTTTCATATGGAGAACCATAGTCAGTGACTCAGCTCCCCAAACATGGAAGAGAAGTGGTAGGGGAAATTATGAACCCAATCTTGTGAACTGATTTGGTTTCTGGATTTCCTAACCACGCTGCATATGAGGAGACTTGTACCTCACTGTGGCTTTGGGGATGTATTTACTAGTGCCCTGCTGCCCGTGCTCTGATGGCCAGCCACATTCAGGCCCCAAGGTGGAACAAACACGTTCCTTTGCTGGCTGCCTAGCGCAAGGGTCTCCCTTGCCCACCTCCCTGAGCAAAACTTATCCTCAGCCTCCCTTGCACATAAAGAGTGGCTGTGAAACTTAAGTTCTGGCCAGGGAGGCAAAAGCAGAAGCTGGCTGGGGGTTCTAGGGAAGACTCCCACCAGTGATGCTGTCCCTTCTTTCCCTTACCTCCTTGATGGTTGCTGAGACCTTTGAGACCACAGCTATCTCTGGAGACATGGGGAAAGAGAATCATATCCAAGAGAAGCATAAAGATCCTGACATCAATCCTGAGGTGTTCCAAAACAAACCAGCAATCATTTAATTTCAGACTTCGCATTAGGAGGAAAAACAAGCCCTTATTGTTTAAGCCACAGTTGGGTCTACAGATGCTTAGACGGGGCTGCATCCTGACAATCGCATGATTTCAGAGCCTCAGTGTGGACTTAAGGACAATCAGCTTGTTGAAAGATATTCTCTCTCTCTCTCCCTCTCTCCCTCACCCTCTCCCTCTGTTTCCCTCCCTCCCTCTCATCTCTGTCTCATGCCTATCTCTATCGTCTATCCCTTCCTCTGCCTCCTTCCCTTCCTCTTCCCCTTCTCCTTCCTCTTCCTCTTTTATCTCTCTCTCTCCCCTAGAAGCTTTTATCAAACCAAATCTTACAGGAAAATTATGGTGAAGTAAAAATTGGAAGAAGGGTTCCTTTGGCCAAACCAGTGTGCCCGGTAACCAAAGCCACCCACATCTCTCCATGATCTTATCCAACTTCCTCATTGTACAGATGGGGAAACTGAGGCCTGGCACGTGGCAGGCATGTGCATCATGCTGTCTAGCACAGAGTCATAGGAAGAAGGAGGGTTTCACCTCCTACAGAGATCACTCTCTTCTCATCCCTTTAATTCAGAGCTCTACATTTCATGATGCATTTCACAAATAGGATCTCAAACAAGGAGCTGGGACAAAAGCATGATCTGATTTGCCAGAGGCCACACAGCTCACGAATCACTGATGATTAACTGGACCTGGATCTGTTGACTTATTCTTCATCCGGAAATTCATTCACAAATTTTGGCAAATCAGTATAAGGATTAGGAAGACTCTCACTGATGCCCTCAAAGCCAGGAGGGATTGCTTTTTTGTTCAGCTGTAACTGAGTTGTTTGGTTCCCTGAAGGGAAGATAACCCAGAACTAACATCTCCATAGTGTGTCCGCACAGGAGGAGCAATTCCACTCTGCATGCAGGCAGCAAAGGTATGGTTACACCTATTGCACAGGTCTGTGGCATTGGGCTGCAATGGTTTGGGTCCTGAATGTTCCTTCAAGGCCCATGTGTTAAAGTGTGGTCCCCAGTGGGGTGCTGTTGGGTGCCACTGAGAGGTGGTCCTTAGTGCGAGGGCTTCATGTTACTGGGGACATACCTTTGTAGAAGGGGATACTGGGACCCTGCCCCTTCTTTGCTGTCTTTTGCTTCCTGGCCATGAGGTGAGTGGTCTTCCTTTACCATATACTCATACCATGTGCTGCCTCATCCAAAGAAGCCAACTGATGGTGAATTGAAGTCTCTAAAGTTGTGAGTCAAAGTAGCACTTTCTTTTCATAGATCATTATCTCAGGAATTTGTTATAATAACAGAAGGCTGCATAACAAAATGGTTGTGTGTGTGTGTGTGTGTGTGTGTGTGTGTGTGTAGCCATTTGCTTATTCATGCACACAGTAAATATTTCCTGGGACCCTGTTCCCAGTGCCAGTTGGGAGTTGAATAGAGTTGAATCAGACTGAGCTTGGAGGTCCTCTTGGGGCTTAGTTCAGACACAGACAGGTCCCCCCAAATAATAAAGCCATTTCAGAAAGTGGAAGGTGCCATGATGGAAGCTTGTGAACTGAGAGCAGGTGTCTGGGCAGGTGGGCAGATGGCTGCTTGAGATTTGGTGGTCACAGAAGGCCTTTCTGATGGGTTGGTGCTTGAGGTGGGGGAGTGGGGTGGTGGTGAAGGACAAGAAGGTTGTAGTCATGTGAATACCTGGGGGAAAGGATCTCCTCTGGACTTTTTAGTGAACACCAGTGAAGCTGAAAAAGAGGGAGAGGTGGGACAAGATCAAAGAGGTGACTGGGGTCAAATTATGCAGACCATAGTAAAGTTCAAAGCAGCTTCTAGAGAACAGCAGAGAATTGGGTAAGGGTAGGGACGGGCTGGTGGTCAGAAAGAGCTAGAGATGAATGGGCCCTCCAGCCCACTCACTGAAATACTCCTGCGGGTGAAGGGTATGGCCCGAGGGCCTCCACTTTAGCCACATCTCCACTGGACTTCATTTCTATCCATTTCATCTCCTACAAGTCCAAGAAGGGAGAGCTATGGGGCCTTCAGGGTGTCTTTCTCCTCTGGTTTCCTCCACATCCCAGAAAGGAAACCCTGGTCTTCCAGCATAAGGTGCCCTCACTCCAGGGAGAGAGGAGTGACCATTGAGCAGGGGATACTGGCTCCCACTGGCCAAGATTGCTTTCCTGAGTGGTGGCAGTGAATGGGGTGGGGATATGGCAGACT